AGCATTGGTCACAATTCTGATGGTAGATTCCAGAGGATACCATTATGCCATATGCAACAATTTGTTTTTTTGAGACAGGGTCTCACTCTGTTGCCTAAGCTGGAGTACAGTGGCTCAATCTTGGATCACACTGCAGCCTGGACCTCGCAGGCTCAAGCAGTTCTCCACCTCAGCCTCCTGCGTAGGTAGGACCACAGGTGTGTGCCACCATGCTGGGTTTTTTGTTGTTGTAGAAATGGGATCACCCCATGTTGCCCAGTCTCGAACTCCTGGGCCCAAGCAGTCCTCCTGCCTTGGCTTCCCAAAGTGCTAGAAGTACGGGTGTGAGCCATCAAGCCCGGCCCAGCATGCAACAATATTGACTGAACACCACATGTTTGGTAGTCCGGCAGTCCAGGATCAGGGAGAGGAGAGGCTCTGCTTGGGGGTACATATGGGATTAGGCAGGGCTGGAAGAGCCCCTGTGACCTCACTTGTTCTGCAAGCAATAAAGTCTGTTATGACTAGGCCGCAGTAGGAACACTAGCTTTTCTGGAGTTGGAGGCCAAATGGGAAGCGGGTCTTCCCCTGAGAAAAAGGAAGAGAAGGGGGCACCAGCAGCTTCCTTGCAGGAAAACTGAAAATTAACCATTAAAGCGCCTAGCACAGTGCTAGGCACATAGCAGCCCCTTCTTCCACACTAGATTTCTTTTCAACTGCCAGCTCCTAAAAGCAGAGACTGAAGCCTACATCTGTCCTCTGTCACCCACCCTGAAAACCAGGATGTGGGACCTCCTTTCCAGAATGCCAGGAGTCTCATGAACCTCAGTCTCTGGGGATGGTGAGTGTGCAGCTGGCCTCATCTCCTGGGCCTTAGCCAAGGTCCCTGAGTACTGCTGGACCTTCTAGGGTGGGCTTGACCTCTGAGGTCCCTATGAAGAGGGAAGATGCACAACCTAGTGAATGTCATTTACATTGTAGTCTGTGAGTGGCATCTCCAGGAGTTCCGTAGGGCACAATCCATGAAGCCATGAGCAACCCCACAAAACTTCTCCATGTTAAAATCTTCAGGATGATTCCCCAGGCGTGTGAGCTGAGAAAGCACCCAGGTCATTCTACTGCTTGCTTGGGAACTTTTGCTCTTTGAAAGACCTTTGACCTGAGCAGATTTAGGCAGCTTCAGGCAGCTTCTCTGACCCTCATCTGTTTCTCTTTTTATTTGTTTCTTTCTCTGCCTCTCTCCAAAGTAGCTATAAGATGAAGGCCACACATGCATATTTTATTTGACATATTATGAAATGCACTTTCTCACTCCCTGTATATATATCTTTTTACTGTTTTAACTCTTCACTCTGGGTTTCCTTGAAATAAAAAAGTTTTAAATACCACTCACTTTTAACTTGGAAAGACAAATGCACGATACCACTGTGCTCCTCCAAGTCCATGGCAGACATCAATAATCAATCACAGCACTCTTTCCCCCTGAGCTGGGCACAACCTCAGACTCCTTCTGAATCTTGCACTCCAAGCAGAGAGTGAGAATCAATTGGAGCTGGCATGACAGATGATATCTATTTGCCATCCCTCAGGAACTCTTACTCAAAGCTTTCCAACTCCACCTCCAGCCCTGAATGTACGCCAGATCTCTGCTACAAGACATCTTTCCCTTTGGGTGTTCATTCTCACACTCTTTGTTACCCATGTGACGCTCGATCATAATTTTCTCTGCTCAAAGCAGCTCTCATTCTCCACCTCATTTTTTTCTATTAATGACATGCCATTTGCCTGGTCCTCTAAGCTAAAAAAAATTTGGAGTTTTCTGACCCTTCCATGTCTCCATGTTCTCCCTTTCTCAAATCCAGCTAGTATGCCTATCTTTTCCTTTTGATGTTTCTCTGATTTGTTCCTCCCATCTAGACAATGATGGTGTCAGACCTTTAATAGGCTGGTGGCAGCAAGGAAGAAGGGCAGGGTGGAAGATGAGCCCCTCAGTTGGGAAGCCCTCTCCAGTCCTTCCAAGCAAAGGGGAATTTTCTCTGCTCTGAGCTCCCAGTCTTTGCAGCTCCTTAGGACAGATATTATTTTCAACATATTTGCAAGACAGGAAAAATAATATTAACAGACTTTGGGGTCCACAGACCTGTTGTCAAATCGCAGCTGCACAACTTCATTAATCCATCCTTTCTTTCATTCTTCCTTCCTCCCCCTCCCTCCCCTCCCTTCTTCCTTCCACCAAATATTTATGGAACACCTACTATATAACAGGTAAAGGTCTCCATGTTTTAAAAAGGGAATCTTTTCTGTAAAATAGCTAGCACAGTACCTGAGACATACAGCAAGTACTGGATAAACAGTTGGGGGAAAGGATGATTCTCAGATCCAGAAATGTGCCCAGAAATCACTTAACCCAACTCACGTTACAGTTGAGGAACTGGAGGCTCAGAGTGACTGCCCAAGCTTCTCTTGCAAAATAGGGGCATAACTAAGACTTGAGCCCAAGTTTTTCCACTCCAACTCAGGGCACTTTTTGCTGCCTCCATGGGGCATGAAGAGGGTGGATACTCTGATTGTGTTTCAGGCTGGAGAGGCGAGGAGGGATCGTGATTGCCAGAAGCCAAAATCGTGCCTTCTTCCACATTCTTACACACACATACGCGCACGCACACACACGTGCACACACACATGCACACACATGCATGCGTGTGCTCACAGAACCGTCCTTGAGCAAAGTCTCCAGGAGGCAGCCAAGATGGGTCAGAGATGCAGCTCATGGGACAATGTAGGGGACAAATAGTGCCATTTCTTCTGGACTCTCTTATGCCTCTGCAACAGAGTCCTCAATGACACCTCCTCCCAATGTCCCCAAGTGACAGGTCTGCAAGCCCTGCTTACAGCTTCAAAATATCCCAGAAGTCAGTTCACCTCACTCCATCCACCAGGTTAGTCTAGATCCCGCCCTGCGGCAGTCTCCTAACAGAGAGATACTGGAGTCTCTCCCCCACCAGCCTCTTCCACACAGTGCTCAAAACAAACTCTCCGAAATGTAACTCCCTTGCTTAAGCCCTTTCCTTGATAACCAGGCACTCTAAGCCCTTCATAACTAGCCCCAGCCTGTCTTAGTCTCCCCTCCTGTTACTTCCCTCGTCACTTCTCTTATCCAGACATCCTGCTCTTTCAACCACCCTTCCTTTGCTCCTACTATTCCTTAGGCCTGGAACAGCCGTTTCTACCTTTTCCACCTAAAAGAAATTCTACACACAAAAAAACAATGACAAAATAACACACCACCTCTGATTTCGAGCATGTGGGTTATTAATTGGAAAAATCTAACTACTTCAAGAAATAAATAAATAAAGGCATTTACTAGACCTTATAATTGAAAAGTTCAGTGGTCATGCCAGCTTCAGGTGTGGCTGGAACCAGGAACCAAAATTATATACCATTAAGTTTCTTCTCTCTCTGACTATCTCTAACCTCTGCTCATCTTGTCTTTCTTTGTGCATCAGCCTCAGTCTCACTAGGCCTACTACTCTGTGTCCAAAAAAGACACTCATGAAGAGCCCCAGCTTACATCATCCTTACAGCCAGAGCCAGCTTACCCATTACACGCAGTAGGCACACAATACTTAGGCTCACAATACTTTCAGGGACTCACAAAAAGGTTTTAAATATTTTTTAAAATAAGAAGAAAATGGATTTTCAGTTAAGGAAAATGTTTTAATATATGTTATTAACATATTTACTTTTATACAATTGTGAAATTTAATTTTTAGTTAATTTTTATAGAAAACGGACAAAGGGGCTGGGAGCGGTGGCTCACGCCTGTAATCCCAGCACTTTGGGAGGCCGAGGTGAGCGGATCACGAGGTCAGGAGATCGAGACCATCCTGGCCAACATGGTGAAACCTCCTCTCTACTAAAAATACAAAAATCAGCTGGGTGTGGTGGTGCACGCCTCTAGTCCCAGCTACTCAGGAGGCTGAGGCAGGAGAATCACTTGAACCCAGTAGGCCGAGATTGTAATAAGCCGAGATCGTGCCACTGAACTCCAGCCTGGTGGCAGAGCGAGACTCCATCTCAAAAAAGAAAAAAAAAGAAGAAAAAAGGAAACGGACAAAGGCGGCCGGGCACGGTGGCTCACGCCTGTAATCCCAGCACTTTGGGAAGCCTAAGCGGGTGGATCATGAGGTCAGGAGATCAAGACCATCCTGGCTAACACGGTGAAACCCCATCTCTACTAAAAATACAAACAATTAGCCAAGCATGGCCTGTAGTCCCAGCTACTTGGGAGGCTGAGGCAGGAGAATGGCGTGAATCCAGGAGGCGGAGTTTGCAGCGAGCTGAGATCGCACCACCGCACTCCAGCCTGGGCGACAGAGTGAGACTCCATCTCAAAAAAAATAAATAAATAAGAAAGAAAATGGACAAAGGCAAAAGGGCTTGTGGCACACAAAAGTCACAATAAGGCCCTGCTTGCCTGTCACAAAGAAAGAGAGAACCTTTCTTTCAGTTTTCGTGTGTTAAATCTTAGGGAAAACTCTGATTGTCCCTAATTGGATCACATTCCAGAACACGCCTGCGAAGGATGCAGGACTCTGATTGGCCAGGCTCAAGTCTCAGGCCCGCCCCTGAGGAGGAAATGTCAATTGCATACAAACACAAGGAATGGGGCTTCCTATAAGAAAGAAGATTGTGTGTCAAGAATTGTCCAGCAAAACTGAACTGTCTTCCTCCGAATGCTCTTTCACTTACAAACACCTTCCCCCAGGAGAACTGATTGCTTCCACTTCTGCATTTTCTTAGCAGTTTGTTCTAGTATGATTGTAAGTGACTGAATCACAGAGCTTCCTACTCTGGTGTGTGAGTTCCTTGAAGGCAGAGTGAAAGAGTGGGCAGTAGAGATCTGAACCATGGAAATGATGCAGAAAAAGGGATTTGCCCTGCGGGGGAGTAGGAGGAAGGGATCTTTATCTGGGTCTTGAAGGCTGGAAGTCTTCCTGGAAGAAGGGGTATTTTCACCGGGTTGACAGATGAGGAAGGACTCCAGGAGGCACCAAGAAGTGAGAGGCATCAGGATGGGAAGGAGTTAGGGTGTGAAGTAGAAGGATGTAGCAGGAGATGAGGCTGAAAAGAGAATGGGACAAGATTGTGGGGAGGTGTGGGCTATCAGCGCCACATAAAGGATTGTGGCTTTTATCCTTCAAGCCAGGGCTCTTCACCTGGGTCCATGGAGAGGTTCTAGAGGACCTGATATTGGATGTAGAATGTTGCTTGTTGGTGTAGGGAAGGTTCATGGTATTCACCAATTTCCAAAGGGGTTTCTGTCTTAAAGTGGTTAAGAATTATTAGTATTAGGCTGGGTGCAGTGACTCACGCCTGTAATCCCAGCACTTTGGGAGGCTGAGGCGGGCAGATCACTTGAGGTCAGGAGTTCGAAACCAACCTGACCGACATGCTGAAACCCTGTCTCTACTAAAAATACAAAAATTAGCCAGGTGTGGTGGTGTACACCTGTAATCCCAGCTACTCAGGAGGCTGAGGCATGAGAATTGCTTGAACCCAGGAGGTGGAGGTTGCAGTGAGCTGAGATGGCACCACTATTCCAGCCTGGGCAACAGACTGAGATATTGCCTTAGAAAAGAAAGAATTATTATTATTAGAGATGTATTCAAGTTCCTTGAGGAAGGAGACCATGGTCTGGAATGTAATTAGAATAGCACTCTGGCAATTACTCTGTGGAGGATGGACTAAAGGAACAAGCAGAGATGGGGAGAGCCAGCAGGAATGTTACAGGAGTCTGGGTGGAAGATGACATGGCCTTCAAATGGGGCAATTTTAGTTTAAAAAAAAAAAAGGAGGTGATCCATTGGAATTAAAAGATGTTGTAAGCTGGGCACAGTGGCTCACACCTGTAATCCCAGCAGTTTGGGAAGCCCAGGAGGGTGGACCACTTGAGCCTAGGAGTTTGAGGCCAGCCGGGGCAACATAGCGAGATCCTGTCTCTACAAAAAATTTTAAAAATTAGCCAGGCATGGTGTCGTATCCCTGTAGTCCCAGCTGCCTGGGAGGCTGAGGTGGAAGAATCACTTGAGCCTGGGAGCTTGAGGCCACAGTGAGCTGTGTTTGCACCATTGCACTCCAGCTGGGCAACACAGCAAGACCCTGTCTCAAGAAAAAGATGTAGCAGTGATGTTAACTGGAGCTTTCTGCATGTTGTGGGTGACAGAGAGGAAGAGAAAGTGACCCCAAGACTTCTACTTTACATTATGATCTTTTCATAGGATTATTTACTAATGATTTTTATTATTGTTTTTACCTCTTCCTCTCATTTAGAGAATGCCTTTAAAAAAAAGAAATGAATGTTATTTCATTTAATTTCAAATACTTCTTTAAGGTACAAGATTTAAAGTCTCTGATATATACAAACTTCTACTTTGTTCTTTTTCTTTAAGTATAATATTACCATTGTACATACTTCATAATAACTATGGATCTATTTATTGAATTTATTTCTTTCCGTGTTTAATGCCTAGAAAACATATTTGAAAGTACACAGAGGACTTGCAAGGCATTTTGCTTTTCTAAATCCTGACTGTGTCACCCTCCACAGCTACCCGCTCCCTTCCCCAGTGCTCAGCAGCTCAGACCGGTTACCTTTTGGCATTGAGGAGAATGGGGGCACGCCGTTCCTCACTGCAGCTTCAGGAAGGCATCACCACCAGCACCAGCACCAGCATCCGCACCAGCACCACTCAAACTACAGCCTCTCACTGACCCTGGAGAACAAAGAGGGGCCTCTGAGGTCCCCAAACTCCAGCAGCAAGTCCCTTACAAGTGAGTAGGCATGGAGGGGGCAAGGCAGGAGAAGGGGGAGCAATGCTGCTGGGCATGAGACTTCCCTAGATTCTTAAGACAGACCCTTGTGGTGCAGCACACAATGGTGGTCATGTTATGCTGGGCTACCAGGTTTGGGCCAGAGTAGACAAGAGCCTTATGCATTTGAGTAGAAGCACTTTAGGGATTGTGGCTTACCAGTAAACTCCAATTTCATCACAGGGTCACAGTTCTCCACATCCTTTTTTTTTTTTTTTTTTTTTTGGTCTTTTCTTTTCTTTTCTTTTCTTTTTTTTGAGATGGAGTCTGGCTCTGTCACCCAGGCTAGAGTGCAGTGGCACAATCTCAGCTCACTGCAACCTCCCCTTCCCAGGTTTAAGCAATTCTCCTGCCTCAGCCTCCTGAGTAGCTGAGATTATAGGCATGTGCCACCACACCCAGCTAATTTTTGTACTGTTAGTAGAGACGGGGTTTCACTATGTTGGACAGGCTGGTCTCAAACTCCTGACCTCAGGTGATCCACCTGCCTCGGCCTCCCAAAGTACTAGGATTACAAGTGTGAGCCACCACACCTGGTCAAGAAGTGAAGGCTTTTGAAAAGTGATTAAGTCATGAGAGTTCCACTCTTATGAATACGTTAGTGCCTTACAAAAGAGCTGGAGGAAAAAAATTCCAAAGTGCTGGGATTACGGGTGTGAGCCACGGCACCCGGCCTCCACCTCCTTTCTTAGCAGTTGTCTGCCTCTGCAGTACCCAGCACTGGCTTGAGCAATGGAAAAGAGAAAGAGGGGAGGGAAGTGATGACTGGACTTTCTACTTTCTTCATTATAGAAAAACTCATTCTATCCCATTTTTGACATTTCAATTTGGACAGCAAAGTAGTATCAGATAGATCCAATCTGTCCACTGCTATGGGTCTCAGAGAAGTTACAAAAATAGAGAGTGAGCAATCAGAAATTTTATTATTTTATTTTATGACAGGGTCTTGCCATGTTGCCCAGGATGGTCTTGAGCTCTTGGGCTTGAGCAACACTCCTGCTTCAGCCTCTGAAAGTTCTGGGATTATAGGCATGAGCCACCGTACCCAGCACAGAAATATTGTTAGCAATATGATAGAATGAGTTTATATCTTTTAAATCTAATAAAAATATGGGCTTTGATTCTGCATGTCAGTTATTTTATTTTTCTAGAAACTCACTGTTAATATATGTTACCAAATAATTCATCTTTGGTAGACTGAGGGAAAGAACCTGTTGTTTATCAAATGTGGTTTGAAAAGTACTGAAGGCTGGATGCAGTGGCATGTGCCTATAATCTCAGCTACTTCAGAGCCTGAGGCAGGAGAATCGCTTGAAACTGGGAGGTGGAGGGTGGAATTACGCCTATAATCCCAGCACTTTGGGAGGCCGAGATGGGCAGATCACCTGAGGTGAGGAGTTGTAGACCAACCTGGCCAACATGGTGAAACCCTGTCTCTACTGAAAATGTGAAAATTAGCTGGGCATGGTGGCGCGCACCTGTAATCCCGTCTACTTGGGAGGCTGAGGAAGGAGAATCACTTGAACCTGGGAGGTGGAGCTTGCAGTGAGCCGAGATGGTGCCACTGCACTCCAGCCTGGGTGACAGAGCCAGACTCCAAGAAAGAAAGAAAGAGAGAAAGAGAGAAAGAGAGAAAGGAAGGAAGGAAGGAAGGAAGGAAGGAAGGAAGGAAGGAAGGAAGGAAGGAAGGGAGGGAGGGAGGAAGCAGGGAGGGAGGGAGAGAGAGAGAGAAAGAAAGGAGGGAGGGAGGGAGGGAGGAAGGAACTGAAGTGGAGGCTTCGATTTTATCTCTCACCCTTGAACTGAGTCCCCTCTTTGATCTTCAATTTTCTCATCCATGAAATGGGGTAGAGGGTATTGAGATAATGACCAAGGAATCTTCCAGCTCTGATATTGCATCAGTCTGTGAGCTGGTGAGACAGGATGAGCCGTCCAACCTTCACCTTGGGGCCACAGGGAACAACTCTGTGTCAGCTGAGCTGGAAATGGAAACTCGACACCCACTTGGTATTGAAGAATCAGAACTCTGTCCCTCATCATTATCCACACTGCCCATGCCCTAGTCCCTGCTTCACCTTTGTCTATCTAGATAACCATAACAGCCTCCTAATGGGCACCTGCTCCAGGACAATCTCCAAATAGTAGCTGCCAAAGTCATAGTTCTCACCCCATAACTCTGACCACATGCCATAAGACCTTTCATTAGCTCTTTACTGTCTGGGATAAAGTCCTTGCTTCTGAGCAGGGCCGTACACAGACCTGCATCTCCTGACCCCTGCCAAGGTCTTCATTCTTCCCTCCACTCCTCATCATACTTTAGCTACATGGAACTACTCTCTTCTCACAAAATACTCTGCTGGGTCTCGCCTCTGTCCTTTTGCACCTGCTGTTCCCTTTGCCTGGAATACTTTTCCCCACCTTGGTGAACTCCTACACGTCCCTTAGCAGCCTGTTCAAATGTTTGCTTGTCAGTGAAATGTCCTTTTTTTTTTTTTTTTGAGACGGAGTCTTGCTCTGTAGCCCGGGCTGGACTGCAGTGGCCAGATCTCAGCTCACTGCAAGCTCCGCCTCCCGGGTTCACGCCATTCTCCTGCCTCAGCCTCCGGAGTAGCTGGGACTACAGGCGCCCGCCACCTCGCCCAGCTAGTTTTTTGTATTTTTAGTAGAGACGGGGTTTCACCGTGTTAGCCAGGATGGTCTCGATCTCCTGACCTCGTGATCCGCCCGTCTCGGCCTCCCAAAGTGCTGGGATTACAGGCTTGAGCCACCGCGCCCGGCCAGTGAAATGTTCTTTAACACCCGTCCTCAATTCCTGGCTTTGGAGTACCTTCCATCTTGCTCTTATAGCAATTAAATAAACCTTGTCTCGGTCTTCTTCGGAATATCTCCACATGTGTCTGTCATCCTCATTAGATTAAAATTGTGTCGCGTTCGCCTCTTTCTTTCAGCTCCCAGATCCCAGTTGCTAATGATACTTGGCACAAGTCTTAATATGTAATGAATATTTAATATTTAATGAATATTTAATGTATTAATGAGTAAATTCAAGCTAGAAGGAGAAGTAGTGGCAAATAAATCCAAAGTAGCACAAAAATAAAGATCAATGGATTTGATTTTAGGAACATAACATGGCTTTTAAGGGCCCATTATATGCCTGTTAGCCTGAACACCAATCTTTCCAGTTTGCGTGGTGCTTTCCCATTTTTAAAGCATTTATACATAAATGACTTCATTTGATATTCACAGCAACCCTGCAAGGTAAGTAATTTTATTTTCATTTTTAAATGGCTCAGAGGGTCAGAGAGGCAAAACAACGTACCCAGGGGCATCCAGCTCATGTATGGGGCACCTTGAAACCTTGACCTCAGATATTCTCATACCCTGTCAGCTGATGGGTACTCCAGGCTTGAGAGCTGCTGGAGGAGGAGGAGGCTGGCAGAAAGGGTGCTGGGAATCGGGCGCTGGCAAGTGTCCCTTTTCCCCTATATCTAACCATCCTTTCAACCTTTCCTTCTTTATTTCTCCTGGCTGCTTTGTAGAACTGAGTCCAGGAACACCTGCCTTGTTCAGTGAAGCCGCTGCCCATCTAAAGAAGCTGGAACTGGAAACTGTGAAGGCTGCTGGCCCCTGGCCTCCTCTGCACATCAACATAAACAAGGTGCCAAGGGCTGGGGCTCGGCACTGACCATGGTCTTGGTGCTAACACCAAACCTCTGATTACTACCCTAGTCTGCCTGCTAAATCAAGTGCCTTTGCCTTGGAGGGATCTCTATTCCATCTTTCCTGACATTTCTGTTCAGTCTGTCCTTTAGGAGCAAATATTTACTTACCTTCCTTTTGGTGAATTATAGCATTAGACGTCGTTCCCAGTGTTTCGCCCAACGGGCTAGATCTGTTTGTTAGTTGTCTCTCCCTCCTACTAGACCGAAAGCTCCAGAGGGAGCATCCACACTTACCGCTTTCCATTTCTAGCCCTCTGTCTCCCTCTGACAATGCCTGGCACATTGTAGATGTTCAGTAACTGTTTGCAGGAGGAAGGAAGGGAGGTATTAAGATAGGGAGGGAGAAGGAGACAGGGCAGAAGCCAGGCCCCCTTTTGGTTAGACCTATTCTTACATCCAAATGGGCAGCCTTATAAAAGCCAAATTTTATCTTAGAATGATACATACCACTGCTGGATTCAGTCGGTCATTTAGTTCAACCTTCTCAATGTCTCAGACCAGAGGAAGGGAAATGATTTTCTCAGGGTTACACAGCCCTTGACAACCTTCTCAATGTCTCAGACCAGAAGAAGAGAAATGACTTTCTCAAGGTCACATGGCCCTTCACAAGGTTGCAAGGCCTTTGAATCTCCATCCAGTGTCCTTTGCACTCCAATATGCTTCCTCGTTTTCTTTGCCAGCGTTTCTCAACTTTGGCACTAGCAACATTTTGACCTGATGACTCTTTTTTGCCGTGGCTGTCCTATGCATTGTAAAATGTTTTGCAGCCACCACACACTAAATGCCACTAGGGACCCCCATCCAGTTGTGACAACCAAACATGTCTCCAGACATTGCCAAATGTTCTCAGAAGGGCAAAATCTCCCCAGTTGAGAACCACTGTTGTACATACATTTTAATTTTTTAAATCCCCAAAGGAAGAATCTTTTTCATTCATGGCTCCTTTCTTCCACTTTAATGCTTTGTCCCTTTATGAGAGGGAATAGGAAGAATTTAGAAGAACTGCCCTGTGCAGCATGGGAAGGTTATACCTCCTGCCCTTCCCGTCCCTGACCTTTCCCATAATCCCTCAGCAGGGCGGCCTGTGGTTCCTTTGATTACTAATGAACCCCAACGTAGGTTTAACCTTCAAAGCCCTGCTTATTCACTTTTTTTTCTATACCACCCTCCATGATGGCCAGCTAGAGAGAATTCCTCCTGCAGGATGGCTCTGATAGCTGTTCAGTCAACAAATCTTTATTAAGCAGGCTTACCCTAGCTGCTAGGGATTCAACCCAATGCAATCCAATCGTGTGCCCCCGATTGGTCTTTTTTCTCTTAGTTGCCTGGTTTTCAACTTTTCTTCTGCAGTACACAAAATAAATGGTTTTAATGGGGGCTTATCCAGAGTTTGGCAAAATCCAAAAATATTTTGCAAGGAAATACAGCATATAGTGTAGCACAGAACTCACAAGCTCTATAGTGATTTGCAGTTGCCATGACTATGGTGGGGCATTGACAATAGTGGTTTGCTCTGGGTGAAGGCCTAGCTGAGACACCTGTGGGTTATCCCTGGAGGTCAAGTTACAACTCCCTTCCTATCTCCTCCACTCAAAGAAATTGGCCTGCATGGTGGCTCATGCCTGTAATCCCAGCACTTTGGGAGGCTAAGGCGGGTGGATCTCTTGAGGTCAGGAATTCAAGACCAGCCTGGGCAACATGGCGAGACCCCATCTCTACTATAAGTACAAAAATTGCGAGATGTGGTGGCAGGCACCTGTAATCCCAGCTACTAGGGAGGCTGAGGCAGAAGAATTGCTTGAACCCACGAGGCAGAGGTTGCAGTGAGCTGAGATCCTGCCACTACACTGCAGCCTGGGTGACAGAACGAGACTCCCTCTCAAAAAAAAAAAAAAAAGAAAGAAAAGAAAAAAAAAAGAAAGAAAAAAGAAATGCATTAGTAATCAAGTAAGCTAGAGTGACATGATTGTACAGATAATTTTGGCTTTGTCCTGACACATACACACACAAAATATATCACTTCACACTTTGAGGTTTTCTTTTTTTTGTTTTTTGGTTTTTTGTTTTTTTTTTTTTGAGATGGAGTCTCACTCTGTCTCCCAGGCTGGAGTGTAGTGGCATGATCTCGGCTCACTGCAACCTCCACCTCCCAGGTTCAAGCAATTCTCCTGCCTCAGCCTCCCAAGTAGCTGGGATTACAGGCACACGCCACCACACCTGGCTAATTTTTATATTTTTAGTGGAGACAGGATTTCACCATGTTGACCAGGCTAGTCTTGAACTCCTGGCCTCAAGTGATCCACCCACCTCGGCCTCCCAAGGTGCTGGGATTACAGGTGTGAGCCACCGTGCCTGGCCACACTTTTTTGTTGTTGTTGTTGTTATCATTCATGAAACATTCCTTGCAACAGACCTCACTTCTCACTTCCGATCATGGCACCAAAATTGGGAGCCACTGGCTTCGATGACTTTTAAGGTTTTTTCCCAGCCTCAAGGATCAAGAATCCTCTGATTCTTCTAAGGTTTGGATAACTTCCTATTCTTGATTGAATGGTGAGATGTCATTTTCACTGTCCAATTCCAAAGTTTGTACCCAAAATTAACACAAGAATTTAATTATCATCAGATTTTAGATGTGTAAACAATTTGTATAAACAATTTAAATATACATCTGGTCATTTCTTTATCCCCAAACAGTATCCCCAAACAAATGGACTATTTCCAACTATAATAATATCAAAGCCTAATTGTCATTCATGTCTATGTTTTGAAATCTGTAATTCCATACTGAACAATTCAAATTGACTGAACATAAAATACAAATTACAGTCACAGGAAAAGAGAAAGCACAATGTTCTTGAAGTTATCCTCTAGGCAGGAATGATACGGTCTTGGAACCCAGATGCTTGTCTCCCACAGAGATATCTTTTATACAAATTCATGTGACAATGCACACATTTCCCAAAATGTATATTGACCTTCACCTGTGTCAGTTCATATAGCAGAATATTACAGGTCTTGCTTTGTCCAGAATGAACAATAACGAGCCAGGTTGAATTTTATGTCCAAAAAAGCAGTTTAGAATGAGTAAATTCAAGGGGAATATCGACGCTAATTTTTCGTTCTTATTTTAGCAGCATTCTATTTTTTAAAGTGGGTCTTCGGTCATTACTGCCAGTATAACTACTTCCCCTTAAGCAATTGTCAAAAGCCTCAAATGGGCTTTATAACCAATTTTACTCCTGTATGCCAGCATACCATTCCGAAAAATTAAATCTAATTTTAAAATTATCTCTTCATGCACCAGTGAAATATCCATTCAATTATCTTGATGTAACAGGATTTACAAACACAAGATAAATTATCTTAAGGGTCTACTGTAAACCTCACCTTTCAAAATAAATGTTACTTATTTGCCTGAAGGAGAAAGTGGAGGCCCTCAGGATAATGAATCCAGTCAAATGAGCCAGATTTCTTCAAATTCAACTTGGCAGCTCAGGAACAATTGATAGCTCAGGGTGGATCATTACTGTTCTCACATCCAATGCTCCTTTTTTTTTTTTTTTTTTTTTTTTTTTTTTTTTTTGGTATATATGTTTGGTAACTAAAGAATCTAACCTGAAAATACCATTTATATCTGTTTTTCTCCCTTGAGCACCATAACAATCTTATGAAGAAAGAAACAGATTCAGAGAATTTAAGGGGAAGCAGTATGATTGACTAGTCAGGAGCTCTGGCTTTGGAGTAACCAACGTCACCATTTCTGGCTGTCAGTCTTGGCTCCTCTGCTTACTTCCTGTGTGACTATGGGCAAGTGACTTACCATCTCTCTGCTTTGTTTTTTGTATCTATAAAATGGGGATAATGATAGTAGCTACCTTGAAATTAGATGATTACATGAGGGGACTCGGTGAGACACGCATATGAAATGCATAGTCAGCGGCTAACCCATAGTAAGCTCTCAGTATATGTTGGCCACTGGCATTGTTTTTCTTTTTATAATCAGCACCTTTTTTTTTTTTTTTTTTTTTTTTTGATACAGGGTTTTGCTCTGTTGCCCATGCTGGAGTGCAGTGTGGTACAATCTCGGCTCACTGCAACCTCCGCCCCTGAGCTCAGGTGATTCTCCCGAGTAGCTGGAATTGTAGGTTCTGGCCACCACACCTTCCTAATTTTTCTGTTTTTAGTAGAGATGGGGTTTCGCTGTGTTTCCCAGGCTGGTTTCCAACTCCTGGGCTCAAGTGATCCACCCACCCTGGCCTCCCAAAGCACTGGGATTACAAGTGTGAGCCACCGTGCCCAGCCCATGATCTTTTCTTTTTTTTTTTTAAATGGTCCAGGTAAGTGACAAAGCTGAGATTCAAATCTGTCTCTGCCTGTCTTGCTATTACATAAAATTGGAGAGTTCTGCTTGGTCTACCAAATGTTTCTCCATATGTTCAGAGGTGCCCCTGGGAAACCCTACCTCATTTCTTTATTAAACAATGTTAGCTGGCCAGTTGCTCTATACTTCCTCTAGCTTTCATAGCACTTGGTGCATACCAACGTGCTCACTAGGACTTCTTAATTAGTGAATAAGATTAATGTTGGAACTTTTAGAACTTGAGAGCTTTAGGGCGTTTGATTCTTCCTCTGGTACATGGTGTGATATGTCACATTTAGTCCTAATATTACTGAACTGACCTCTAGCAATCACACAGTCCTATGCCTTTCTTATTAAACATGTCACTTCTAATAATGACTGTATATTATCATAATCTTCTTTAGTACATATTTATTGGACATCTACTATGTGCTGGGTACCATATTAGCACTGGGATATGAAATGACCACAATAGGCATGGTTAACAATAAGACCTTATTTCCCAAAATGTGGTGTGTATACCGTCAAAGATGATTTCAGGTTGTATACATGGATGAGTACTTTTTATATTAATAGTGATATAAATATCATGTTTCTTATAATAAATATAATAGTCATAAAACCTATAATTTCAAAGATATTATTGCTTTGAATACAGTTCAAATAGATGGTCCCAGGGTAATTCACCTTAACTGGATCACATGAATTATAGATATGTGTTCTGTGAATACATGAGATATGGCAAAATTTATAAAGGTTGTGCAAATTACTGAAGTGCAAGACGCTCTACAATAAGGTAACAGATATAAATTTCTTGTTGAAAATCACAATTTTCTGCCAGATTTGTTGTCAAACTGCCAATGAATATTTTGTACCCTTCCCCTGGACCCAACAAGTCACAGAATTGAATCTTTCCATGTAAGAGATGGCAGTTATGGGTAAAATAGCACTGGACTGAGGTTAGGAGACTTGAATCAGGAGATGTCCAGTTCTGCCGCTGGCTCTTGCCCCATGATGCTGAAAGAGCCTTTCCCTTTCTTTGAACTTTTACCCTGGCTTCTGGTAGGTCCTCACCCTATTTCACGAGGGAATGAGATGCTGTGCCTGGGAATCCTTTG